AGTAGACAAGATTAACTTTTTTATCCATTGTAAAGCTAAAGCCTGCGACTGAAGGGTAGGGTCTAGAATCCCTAGGCCCCCTCTGGATTTGGGTTGGCACAGATATCTCCAAGCCACTCTAGGGATAACCTTGTCCAAATCATGATTACCCCTCCACAGAAAGGCTGTGATCTGCCTCTGCAACACTTTAGTGCTTATTTTACTCAACGACCACAACTCCGTTTTATACCATATAGAAGTCAATATGACATTGTTAATAATAAGAGCTCTCCCAAATACTGAGGTATGCTTATTTTTCCATAAATTCATCTTGTCAATAGCTGGTTTAGTTACCCACTCATTATGAGTGGTGGGTTTCCCGACTGCAGTTAGGGAGACCCCCAAGACATGCACTGGTGCTTCTAAAGGTAGTCATTTCACTCTTGGTTGTTCCGGTGGCCTATCTCCTGCAGAGTGGATCCACCAGCCCTGGGTTTTATTGCCCCAGTTGACAACCATGTTTGAGACTTGTGCGAACCTGTTCATTAGCGCTTGGATTTTAACCATATTCTCTTGTGTCGCATCCATGATAACAGTAAGATCGTCAACAAACATTGAAGAGATTGGGATGACTTCCTCAGGGATTCCAGAGATACTCAATTTTTTTATATTTCTATTTGCCCTCAAATTGGCCCCTAGTGCTTCCATGATGATTAAGAACAAGAAGGGTGCTAATGGATTTCCTTGTCTGACCGACCGTTGTAGTTTGATTTCCCGGGAAAGAAACCCATTTATAAGAATGCGTGTGGTTGCATTCATATGTAGGATACGTACCCATTTCCTTAAGTTTTGTCCAAAATTCATTTTAACTAAGCAAGCATCTAAAAATCTCCAATCCATATGATCATAAGCTTTCTCAAAATCGATAAAAATAAAGGCAGCGTTATTCTTTGATTGTCTTGATAGTTTAATTAATTCGTTAATGAGTAATATGTTGTCTTGAATATGTCTCCCATTGATAAATCCTGTTTGAGAGGGATGAATAATGTCCGCCATCACAGGGATCAAACGATTAGCCAAAGCTTTAGCTAACATTTTATAGACCACACTTAATAGAGTAATCGGTCTGTAGTTTCTAATGTTTGTCTTATCACCCTTTTTATGGATGAGTGTAAGGATTCCTTGTCCCACAAATTCCCTCATTTTTCCAGATTCCTGGATTGAGTTAAAGAATTTCATTAGATCAGAGGCAAAAGTTGGCCACATGATTTCCCAAAATTCTTTTGGCAAGCCATCAATTCCTAGGGTTTTCCCTTCCTCCATCTGTAGTAATGCTGCCCAAATTTCCTCTTTTTCCATTGGTCTTTCTAATAAATCTTTTTGTTCCTGGGAGAGTGCTTGTGTCATGGGTTTAAGGAAACTGTTTATTGCTAAATCATCTTCCTTTGTTTCCTCAGGATCCTTGGAAAATGAGAAGAGATTTTTGTAGAAATCATATGCTATTTTTAGACTGCCTGCTGAGGATGAGGATAGAAGTTGATCCGTACTACTTGGATCTGTAAGTCCATTTATTAAGGAGCGTCTCGATCGTGTACGAGCGAGAGCAAAGAAAGTAGCATCCATTTGTCCTTCTATCACAAACTTAGTTAGTTTGCCTCTAATCAAATGACCTTGCCAACGATGTTGAGCAAAGGAAAGTAATTGTTTTTTTAGGTCCTAAATATGAAACACTTTGTATTCATATTTCTGATAATATAAGCTGTGAAACTCGGTCCTCATCTTCTCTATCTTTGTCTATTGTGAGACTAATGTTCATTGTGTGTGGGAGTACGATGCATGGCATGAACACACTTGCGTGAGATGGTCCCCAGGACCCATGCAAACAACAGATTCCAGCTCATATTCTTGCAGTCTAAAGCTCAAATAAGACAAAGAGAAGGGAACTGCAAAGAGATATAGGCAAGCGTATTCAGAACATAATATCATGAGTGTCAGGCAAGGTCATCTTTCATCAAGGAGAAGACACAAACTTCAAGAAGTGAAATGAAGCCAAAAGAGTGCAATAATCCTGCTCAATTCATAAGGCAAGACTCAAGTTTGAGACAATGCCATCCTTTGCAACTCAAGAAATGGTGATAAACTCCATATCACAGATAGGTGATAAGCTCTATAGCTTTCGCACATGACTGCCAATTTAGGCCGTCAGCGGCGTCAGGAGTGAAAGGATTTCATACGTCTCGGCCTCCAAGTACCAGTTCCAGTCCCGAAGTTCCAACATCCTGGGTACTATAATACCACTTTCAGAGGGAGCATTTATTCGGGGGGTAGGAAACTAGGTCTAGGGTGTAGGTGCAATAGGTCCGTTAGACCCAGTTCATCAGTCAGTCAGTCCAGTCCGGTCAGCAGGTCAGTCAGGGTTGTCCACGCCCGGCCGAGGATCCCCAGTGGGGGTTCGGAGGGTATGGACCCTTCCCCCC